CCCCAAAACCCCAAAACCCCGATAATCAGAATTAAGAGGAATTGAGTAAATTTGAAAATTTTCCTCTGGGATGTAATTATTAGAATAAAGTAAAATTCTAAGTCAAATTAATTGATTTTAATAATTAGAAAATATCTAAAATAAGTAATAAAATAGAAATCTCAATGTCTCACTAGAATACTAAGAAAACTTGTAAATAACATCCATAAACAATGCTTAATTTTCCCCTAAAGCTCTTTGCGACTAAATAAAAGAAAAATTTAAGAATATTGACATGTATGGACAACCATTCATGTTTACTTTCAAAGGCTAAAAGTAAGTATTACTAGGATTTAATCATAAATATTATAAAATATGTAACTCTTAATTGAATCCACGTTATATAGAACTTTTAAGACAAATATCGGCGCAGCTGCTACTTCTCTAATAGTAATTTCAGTAGTTAGCTATCTCATCTTCAAACTTAGGATTATGTTTTGTAAGATTCTATATTGATTAATCCGACAGTAAAACTTGACAATAAAACTTCGAGATTTGTGATGAATGAGGCACAGAAAGATAACCCTGATATGATTGATGTCTAGTAATAATAAAATCTCCCTTCTTTACATTTATAGTAAACTGGGATTCGATTTAGCCTTTGGAGGATACAGTGATTTAGATCCGAGGTATGGCTCAATTATTGCAACCCATAATGTGAGGCAAAGATTTAAAAATAAGACAACAGGTCTTTTAGGTAGGAATATTCTTACAGATAATATAAATCATATTTTAATAATCTAGAGGTAAAAATGGCTTATGAGCCTCTTGAATTGGTTAGATGTGGGTAAGAGTATTTCAATTATGAAAATAAGAATGAATCAGCATATGATGATGTTGCTAATTTGCTATGCATAAAAGAAAAGAAGTATCTAAGTTTAGGAGGGGCATGGACAACAAATAGATTAGAAGAAATTCAAATTGTTATGAAGCCTTGTGAAAATAAAACTAGTAGCAAGACAATCTGCGCCTCAGAGTCTCAAATTCTTGAATATTTTTCAACAGTAAGATATTTAAATTAGCAAACTATAGGTTGATTTTCAAGTAAGATTTGTTAATCAGTACTTTGATTTTAATGATATATAAGATCCCGTTAAAAAGTTCATTGAAGATAGATATTTTATGCCAGTACAGACTAATCAGTAAAAAGGTTTGGTAATACTTGTAAAGAAAGGCTTTTCTAATCTTAATGATGATTTCTTTCCATTTCAATCCTAGAATAATAAAAACTTTATCTTTGTAGATAATTTCATTCAGTCTACAGGGAATCTTGATTATCATGACTGTAATTGCTACACCAAAATTATCTTAAGAATGGATGTAGAATATGAAATTTATGAGAGAAAAGTTTATAATTTTGCAGATCTGCTTTCAGAACTTGGTGGTATTTATAGTTCACTATTTGCAATCGGAAGTATATTCGTGATGAGTATCAGCTAAAATCTCTTTTACTCTCAAATTATCAAAGATATATATCAAATAAAAGAGTCTTCTTAGGACTTTATAGGAAATTTTAGAAAGCAAACTACACTAGAGAGAAAGGAAGATAAAAATACAATAATTGATAAGCTTAAGAATTTAAACACTTTAAACCAGACTCAAAAGACTGACGCATCAATTAGAGAGCTTCATTAATTTTAAGATGATGAAGAGGAAATAAAAGCACAAGAGGCTCCTTCCCTACTCAGTCGTATACTATTTGAAATTCAGAATCGTCTTAATGTTGCCTTTAAAATAAAGAATATTCTTAAGATAACACTTGGATTAGTAACTAAAAACGATTTAAAGATGAGAAAGGAAAATTAAGATTTCAGACAGATATATCTCTTCAAAAAAGGTGTGTCAAAAATTGATAATGAATTTGATGCAATATCATTATTGAAGCTTATGAAGCAAGTTAAACTTCTCTCACAGGTAATACTTAACCCTACCCAGAGACTTCTACTAGGCTTTCAGAGAAAAAATGTCTTAGACTCTGACAGCAGTGATGCAAATAACAGTGATGAGGATGATTTGAAAATCATCAATCGAATGAAAAGCAAAAGTGCATTCGTTAAGTTGATGTCACTTGGCAAAATGAAGAAAAAGATCAGTGAATACTTAGATGAAACAAAAGGTCAATTTAATGAAATAGACAGAAGAATATTTTAAGGAATTATTGAAAAACATATCAATGATGCTACTAATTAATTTAATCTGCGTCCTAATTCAGCACAGTTATCGAGATAGCCAACATTAATCAAGAAATTAACTTAATAAGATGAAATAGAAAGTGCTAAAGAAATTTAAATTTAAAAAGAAAATGATTTTAGTTTCATGACTTTAGTTGAGAATGAATTATCAAATATTGATACAACAAAATTGTAGGATGTTTCAATTGATTAGATATATAATTCTAACAAAAGTTTCATTCCTGATAACTAAATAGTATCCTCCAAAGATCTTGCTTTTAAAAATTAGGAGTATTTAAGTGAGTTCTGTATTGATAAGGAAGAAGATCAATAAGACCTAAGAAATTTCTAAAAAGAGGAAAACAATTAGGTTCAAAAAAGTTTAGTAAATAGCAAGCAAGATACAATTAAAACCTAAAAATCAAGAATTAAGATTAAATCATGATTAGAATTAAGATTGATTTAAACAGGATTATAGAAGTATTTCATCAAATATAATTTGAATTATTTTGATTTTTTACATGATCTGTTTTTATAAATGGATTTCAGTTAACTGGGGTTTTGGGGTTTTGGGG